TTAGTATCCAGAAAGCACAAACATATTACCCTAGACATGGATAAACAACCAAACAACAAGAAGGCCAGACTTTCTTCTAATAACAAAAAAGTCTTCGACTTTACAAAAACTGAAGAAAATAAGGAAAATAACAAAAAACTTGATAACGATAGCAATAACAGTAATGATAACATTACTAAACAAGAGACTAAGGTGTTAACAGACTTGACTCTTGAAGAGTCTAACATAAACTGGGCAAACCAAGTTGAAAAAGAAGAAGCAACCACAAAAAAGAATGAAAATGAAAACTCTTGCAGTAAACAAGAGACACGTGTAGATGATTCAAATACAACAAATTATGTAAATAGTGTAAATAATAAACAAGAGGAATGCGTAAATAGTAAACAAAAGGAACACGTGCCTACAAATAACCAATCAACTTCTGTATATCTAACTAATTCAGTTAAATCATCATTGTCTTACACAACTGAGTCACAAGGGTCACAAGGCAATCAAAATAAAGGATCCAAACCCAAACAGTGATCTGATTTATTTGCAAAACTAAGGGAAGAAAAAGCTAAGAATGAGAACACACTAGTAGTGGATATTCAAAACTTAAATAACATACCAACTAATGATATCATTGTAGCTCTAGCCATAAGCTTAAAAGAAGATCTTATAGCAGCAAAGACCCATACTTCAAGAAAAAAAAGAACCTATCTGGAACTTATCCTAAAAGACAAAGAAAAAATATAATACTATGCAGCTGAAGGCATTTCTCTCTTCAAGCAGACTCTGTTCGGATATATTTCAGTCAATCTCAATCGATTCTTTTTAACTGTAAAAGTAAAAAACACCCCTATAGACAAACCCAAATATATTAGCAACCGTATTTTAGAAGCCTTCCAGGATGTTGGTCAGATTGCTTCTATTAAACCTCTCTTTTATGAAGGAACTACGGTCTGCTCAAATAAATGGTTAATTACCTTTGAAACTACTGATAATCCAGAAATTGCTTCAAGAATCCCTAGAACTACTCACATTGGTAATCATAAAGTAACAACAGAATGGAAAGAAGCTCCTAAAATCTGCTTCTATTGTGAAAGAGAAGAACATGTCAAAAAAGACTGTGAAGAGCTTAAAACCTCAATAGAATCTAGACACCTTCTTAGAGAAGCCAAGTCTTGATTAAAGAAAGAAAAAACTCAAAAATCAGAGACTACAAAAATTAATTTTAGCTCCAATAACCCATATAGGAATGATATGGAAGAAGAAAAAACCCAAAAACCAGAGAACACGGAAAATAGCTTCAGTCAAGATAACCCATACAAGAATGATATGGAAGAAGTAATCCAGAACAAGGAAGAAGTCACAGTTTAGGTCTTAACTGCAACATCAGAAGAAATTCCAAATCTTAGCAAAAGCTCTGATAGCAATATGGAATTGGATTCTTCATCTACCTCTATAATCGTGAATTCTGAAACTAATGAAATAATAATGAACCCAAGTAAGATAGAAGAAGAGATTACTTCCAACCCCATTGAACAAAATAAGGCTCCTTTTACGACTGTAGTATCAAGAAAATATAAAGGCAAAAGCTTCAAAAAGAACAGTCAGCACAGAACCCAGCTATATAGAATTTCAGGAAACTCAAA